AAAAAATTAATGATGAAGACTTCGAACAAAAACAAAAATATATCACCCATACTGTTATGCTTATATAATATTATTATTTCTTCATTGTATAAAAATAAAAATTCTTATATTTTACATCTTAGACACCAACTCATATATCATTAGTACAGATAACACTAAAGTAAAAAAAAAACACAATCGCAATTTTTATTAAGCATGAGGACATGCTTTCAAAAAAACAGGGGTACATTTTGTAATATTATTTTGATACTTAGTTGAATTTAGACGTCTCGTTGGCGATTGCCAGTGACATGTCGACGCCGCTGAGGCGTATAATAGTTTAATTTTGTTTGTATGGCCCTTGCCGTAAAAAACCATAAATGAGTTCATACAGCTGCACGTACGGATTAGCAATATACAACGTTATACTTATCATTGTTTGTTTACACAAATCAATTCTCGTACAGCGTTGTAAAAGACATCTTTCTTTTTAATTAAATAACGTATATTATCACATAAAATTTTTATTACCATGATTCATTATAACAGACCTAAGAGCCCTCTGGGATCTCATCAGCTTTTGACAATCCGTCGAAGAGCCTCTTCTATTTTTCCACCTCAAGCGTCCAGACTTAAGTGCTCAGCTTCACTCTTTTACTTTGCGGCCTTTTTATTTGTCTTACTTTGTGACTTGGTGTCTTTATTCTTAATATAATTTAATAGTTTAAATTAATGTATATTCATGTTTGAATGACTATCAATTATAACACATGCTTATATAACAAACTGTTTTTCTTCTTATTTAATATATAATAAATCTAAATTACTTCTTCTCCTCTCTACACCGTAAAACAAGATTTGCAGTCAAGATATATCAGGTAAGAGTAGTTTAACACACTAACTACAANTACTTTTTCCATTAATTTTAATAACTATTTCTCTGGGTGTATACGTTTCTGTTATAAATAAATTATTTGTTACTTTAAAAAGCACTCTTTTAATATATTTAAAATTTGTTCTTTATTATATATTTATATAATAATATAAATAATAATAAATAAATATAATAATTAAAAAATATATAAATATTATATTTTTAAATATTCCTATATATAAACATTTTAAAATGGTCATCTTAAGATATGTTTTGTATTGACTTATGTAAGTATATTATTTAAGTTCATTTATTAATAACGTATTTTTTGTTCAACTTAAAATACAGTATGATTTTATCGCAGTAGTTTGAACTTGAGAATTTATAAGATTGGAAAATTGCTGAATAGAGTTGAGAAATTAATTAATTAATTCCAAATTTATTAATTATGCTAAGTATACTTTGACTATATAGGTAATTAATAATATATATATGTAAGAGGTTAAAAAGAATTTCATATTTAAAAAAAACGTTATTTAGTATTAATAAAAATATTTGTTATTGTATATAATAGATAATTAAAATATTTTAGAATTTATGTTTTTTTATATATATGTCAATCTATTAGTAAAATATGAAGCATAGATATAAAAATACCTTCAATTTAAAAACCTGATTATCTTGTTCAGCTCGAGCAGAGACGGACTGGCTCAGTGTGCTACAGCGCGATGGCTGTTAGAATACTGAGGAGGTGCTGCGACTGCGATTAAACAATTTAATTATTTTAATTTTTGATCTGATTAATGATTGTTTTAAAAAAATACATTTTTATTCATATTGGTCAAAGTAAAATTTGNAATGATTGTTTTAAAAAAATACATTTTTATTCATATTGGTCAAAGTAAAATTTGTTTAGAGTACTCGACAAGACCAGTATTTTGATGTACTAATCAACTTTGTAGCTCAAATAGATAAGTTTTTATGATACTTCAAAGTTCAAAAGTGTTTCTATTCACCCGGTTTTACGGTACTCGTCAAAAATTAAATATTGTCGCAACATCTGTTCCATCAGAACGCTTATTTTCCAAAACTGGTTAAACAATATTTAAAGCAAGAAACAGATTGACTGGAAAACATTTGTTATAATTCAAAAAAATAAGAGCAAAATGTTGGTAAAATATAAATAATGAAAATGAAAGAAGAACGATGGGTTTAGTGAGAACCTGATGTTGTGGTTCTATCGGGGTCGTATGATTCGAGGGTTTAGAACAATAAAGACAAGTAGATATAAAGAAATAAATGTATGTCCTCTTTATTGAGGAATATGAGCTAATAAATTTGTAAACACCTTTAATAGGACACTGAGGTAACGGGGCGGTAATCCGACCCTCGAATACCCAGTCGAAGTGTCTATTAATATAATCAGATACACATTAGGTTTTTAAACTCTTTTCAGACACGGGGCGGTAATCCGATCCTCGAGACCCTGTAATGTGTATATGTAGTAAGTGTGAACAAACTGGCAAAATTACTCTTGATGTTAAAAGGAATTATAGATCTATTGCTTCATCGTTCTTTACTCAGATTATTAACTCTAAATAAATGGGATAATATAAATTGACTTACTTCTTTTATTCTTGCAAATTGCTGTAAAATGATTTGATAAATATTTCGATATGCTTATATATGTTTAAAAGTATTTAATTCGTACTTCGTCAAAAGATAAATAATTAAAACAAGTTCTTTTCATATATAAATAAAACGCGTAAAAGTCAGCCGACAACAATACAGGGCTGTGACTGATAATTATTTCTCTTTCATTCTTATTTGAATTCGGAGAGATTTATTATTTGTTTGTTTACAAATTATTTAAAATACAGATTATACATTTTACATTGATAATTGTAAGATGCGTAATGCAGAGTATTAAGCATATCACGACACATTTATCTAAGCTTGTCTTCATGAGATCTTTGAGAGAAGCAGATTGGTTTTCAAAAGTCTTATAATTTTTTAAAAAAAATTTATATATATATTTTTATTTTATAAAAATTATTAAATATCTTTTATTTTGATTTATTTTTTCAAATAATGTGTCTACTTATTTTTGTTTACATATTAATTTTTTTAATTTAAATAATTCTATTTTAATTATTTGAAATTAAATTATAAAGTACAAGTCATATAAGGCACCAATGATAGATTAAATAAATTTAAGTTATGAAGTTATATAAAAAAATTTAAGTTCAATTTTCTTTAATTTAAGAGTAAAGGGTCAGCTTGGCCAATATGTGAGTAGAAACATACTTTGGCGCTTGGTATCCCAGTTTCGTTCACCGGGGTGCCAACAAGATATTTCTTGTGATTTTCTCATTGGCGATGTCCGGTCTCTAGTGCAAGCCGGCCATAATACCCATCCTATTCATCATTGGCTTGACTAAGAATCATTTTTGACTCCATGTCAAAGAGAGCCACCACCCTTTATAACATGTTAAATTCGGGAAATAGAATGATGTAAAAACTTATTATTATTGTTAATTTAATAATGAATATCAATTTCAAATAAAAATGAGTGATAACCAGACTTAAAAATCCTGTAAAAAATGCACATTGGAACTACGATTTTAATTAAGTAAACAATTTTTTACTATTATTAAAAAATATGAAGGTAAATGTGTTCATTAAAAAAAAATGATTTTGAAGTTTTCTATCCAACTTGTTATAATGGTGTAGTGATACAGAATAAAATAGTTTTCCTTTAAATATCGATATTTTTGTTCAATATATCGATGTCTCGATATCAAACAGAGCTCTATAAATCATTATAGATAAACTATAAACAAAATATTGATATTGTGTCAATTTTTGTCATCCCTATATGTAGTGAAGGTAGGCGTTTACTAATGAATGGGTAGTCTTCCCGTGCTACATACTGATATTATGTATTAAAAAGTTTTTTAGTACTATAAACAATTTATATTTTTGTCTACAGTGTAAATCAATGAAAACGTAAAAAAAAAGTGTTAAAGAATTTTGTTAAAAATAAGAATTAAGTTTGAATGAAAATTTTTATGACTACATATTTTAGCACTATAAATCCAAAAATAAATTGTTCAGCCATGGTCAACTTAAAAGCCTTTTAAATAAACTTTATTTAAAAAGAACAAAAATGAAAAATTTTATAAAAACATACTTTTATTAAAATGTTAAAAATGAATTATACAAATTTTAGAATTATAAAATAATTTTAAATACAGAAAAGACAGGCTGCCTTAAGTTTTTTCTGCTGGCTTATCCTAATTTTTCAGTTAAATCAATAGTTTCACTTAATTCTTGTTCCAAAATTTTAAATTTATTTATAACATCTCTTAATTGTTGATTCAATTTCTAAAATAATAAAATAATTTTTTGATTGGTCAATAACAATTTTAAGACAAATATTCATTGAATTACAATTATTTTAACACATATAGTGAGTATGTAGTGAAGGTTGGTGTTTACTGATGAATGAGTAGTCCTCCCGTGATACATACTCATATTATGTATTAAAAACTATGTAACTCAATAAGTACTTATTCTATAAACATTATCAAACTAACAAATTTTTTTGTAAGAAAAAAGCTAAAATAATGCTATTTCAAAGTTTTGAAAAAATAAAAACAAAAATAAGTTATGTATTTTTTCTTATTAGTGATAAATAATAAAAAAATATTTTTTGAATGTGTATATATAAGTTTTATTAACTAGTATAACATACCTTAATAATGCGATTTTCCTCTTTATTTTTTTTTTCAATAGTATATACAAATGTATTTATTTTACTTTCTAAATCTGCATAAAGATTTGTTTGATCTAGTACTTTTTTTCTTATGTCCAGAGATTTATGTAATAAAAAAAAGTTTGTTAATTATAATGTAAATTATTCATAAAATAATATTATATTTAAATTTAGATTTTCATTTAAACTTAATTGTTCAATAATAATAATGGGGGTACTCGAAACGTGAGAAAAATTCATGTGTCGAGCGTGTCTATAATCGTCTTTGTAGTCGCTGCGCCTATCGGGTACGCTTCGGTCCAGCGACTGAAACAGTCAGTTGCTACTAACAGGTTCGTTTTTCCCCTTGATGTTCTGGGGTACTCACCCATTAAGTCAATACTAATGACCTCCCACGGTTGTCTTGGTTTGCGCGAAGTTAGAGGATCATTCGGACGCTTATTTAGGGCCTTCGTACACGCGCATACATAGTCCGTCTAACGTGAAATATTCGTTGTAGTTCTTGCTGGACTCCTTATCGTTTTTTCTGGCGTTCTCCTTGAGTAATTGTTTCATGATGGATGAAAGAAATGGGTCGTCGTTTTGCCACTCTTGTATTTCCACCCGTAAACGGCCGTTTATCTGACGCGCCGTTTGTTTCGGTTAAGGCAAAAACATTGTTAAGAGTGGCCCGCGTATTATCCGACGCTCTCGTTGTCGGTGCGCCCCCTAGATTGTCGTCGAGTAACTCTTCGTCAACAGTCGGATAACGTGACAACATGTCCGGTCCTTCGTTGTGTTTCCCGGGTACATGTGTCGTTGTAAAATTCAAATTACCTAGATGCAGCGCCCACCTAGTTAATTTTGAATTGCTGTCCTTTGCTCTGTGTAGCTAAGTCAACGCGGAATTATCTGTAAATAATTCGAACGGAGAATACTCCAAGTACGGGCGAAATTTATCAGTCGCCCATATAATTGCTAAGCATTCTCGTTCTACGGCGGCGTAACGTTTCTGCGTTTCCGAAAGTTTCTTACTGGCGTAGAATATGATTCTTCTCTCTCCCGGTTCATCTCCGTGTTGAAAGAGTATTGCTCCCACATCTATTTCACTCGCATCGGTTTGAAGGCAGAAAGTTTTCGCGTAGTCAGGAGGACTCAGTCGTGGGGACTCACACAGGGCCCTTTTTACCTGTTCAAAGGCCTTTTGATGGTCTTCCGTCCACAACCATGTCGTCCCCCTTTTTAGTAGATTTGTCAGCGGCGCTATTGTTTCGGCGTAGTTGTCGACGAATTGACAATACCAATTAAGTATGCCGAGACATCTACGTAGATATTCCGTGGGACCGATAGGACGCGGATGGACTCGAGTTTTTCGGGCTGCTTGTCTATGCCCTCACCGTGTACAATATGGCCCAAAAAGGAAATTTCGGAAAACCATATTTTACACTTTTTTGTGTGACATGTCAGCCCGTGTCGCTCTAATCGTTCTAGAACTTTGCCTAAATGTTTTAAATGCTTTTCTAAACTACTTGAATAAATAATTATATCGTCCAAGTAAACTTAGACAAAATCATCTAGATATCCTCTAAGTACTTCATTCATAAGTCTTACAAAAGTCACAGGCGAATTTTTGAGTCCAAACGGCAGTACACGAAAATGAAACAAGTTCCTTCTTGTTCTAAATGCCGTAAACTTACGGGCTTTTTTATTTAAAGAGCATTGCCAATAACCCGACTTTAAGTCGAGAGTCGTGTACATTTTTGCCCCTCTCATGTTCCTAACCATGTCGTTTAGATTAGGCATGGGGTACGCGTCCGAAACGGTTACTTCGTTTAGTCGTCGATAATCTATACATAAACGAAAAGTCCCGTCCTTCTTCTTGGCCAGCACTATCGGTGCTGACCATGGCGATACACTCGTTTCTATTAGCCCCTGCGCCTCCATGTCGTTTACCGTTGTAATATTCTTTTGATACTTAATTAAATTCAAACGTCTCGTTGGCAATTGCCAGTGACATACCGACGCCGCTGAGGCGTATGATAGTTTAATTTTGTTTGCCTGGTCCTTACCAAAAAAGCCATAAATGAGTTCATACAGCTGCACGTATGAATTAGCAATATACAACGTATTACTTATCATTGTTTGTTTACATATCCTGGGCGGACCATGATACAATACAAATCAATTCTCGTACCGCGTTGTAAAAGACATCTTTCTTTTTAATTAAATAACGTATGTCATCACATAAAATTTTATTACTATGAATCATTGTAACAGACCTAAGAGCCCTCTGGGATCTCATCAGCCTATGACAATCCGTTAAAGAGGCACTTCTATTTTTTCTCCTCTAGTGTTCACACCTAAATACTAAGCTTTACTCTTTTTACTTTGCTGACTTTTATCTGTTTTATGTTGTGACTTGGTGTCTACATTTTTAATATAGTTTAACTTAAGATAAATTTATGTTTGAATAACTATCTAAGTACAATTATAAAACATGCTTATATAACAAACTATTCTTATTATTTAATATCTAATAAATCTACATCACTTCCTCTGCTCTCTACTCTGTGGTACAAGATTCGCAGCCAAGATATATCAGGTAAGAGTAGTTTTAACACACTAACTACAATTAATAGTATCATTTAATAATATCTTTTCAATATACTTTTGAATGAGAGTGATAAGTAATAATTGCCTTATANTCAGGTAAGAGTAGTTTTAACACACTAACTACAATTAATAGTAATAACTAATAAAAATACTTTAATTAATAATTAATTATTCTCTTCTTTTGCTTAAATATATCTTAGATCTAACTTCACACATCTTACGTTTCCTTCTATTAATTTATTTATACTATCTACCTTCACTGTCATTCTCTCTCTTTTTTATTGGTTATTACACCATATCGTCAATAACCTCCTGCTTGTGCAGGGGGTAGGGGTACGGTTTTAGTGCGATAGGAGTCGGGTCTTTCAATAGAATATCGTGCTCGATTAATTTTGTGCGACCCACCGTGTCGTTAAAGACCGCTGCGTAATTACATATCGTCTGTGTTAATAACGCGCGCGTTCGTGAGTCGCCGGTTATATCTAACTGCGTCAGATGTGGTTTGCGGATCGTGTGTCGTGCGCCCGATTTCCAACAAGAGGTTGTACGTTTCTTAGTGCCTAAGTGTATTGTTCCTGCTGAGTAGTCCCAGGCGACCTTCTGATCAATCAGAAAATCACGGCCAAGTAATACGTCACAATACAGGTCGTCTAAAATAACCGCTGAAAAACACACTTCTAGATCCGCGATTTTGGTGGTAAACGTGGCGGTACCGTTCGTCATGACGGTGTGTCCGTCCGCTAGTCTAACCGCGTCAGTGTGTCCTTTATAAACAGTTCCGTATTTATAAGGCGACAAATCATTGAAAGACCGACGACCGTCGTTTGTGTTGAATTGCCTCTCCCGTAGTTGGCGCGTAAACGAAAAATCGGTCGGCTCGTTCTCATATGTATGAGTGCGCTGATAATGTTCGTCTTGCCAACCCGTGCTACACATCCGTGGTAACGACGTGCGCGACGCTTGTCCGTACGACCGTCTCATGTTGCGGGCTTCTTGCGCTTCGATGTCCGCGAGGCGCTCGTTTAGTGTTGCGTCGTGTCGCGTCGGGTTCCGATGGACCGAATGTAACGCGATGCGCGTCCGATCGTCAAATATCGTTTCGTTCGACGTTAACTTGTCGAATAGTCGGTTGTACAGCAACATGTGGGGACGGCGGCATATTTTGACTGATTCGCTCAAGCATGTTGGAATTCTGACGCTGTTCCATTGACATACGCGACAGCGACCTTTCTAATTCAGTCATCCGTGCCTCGATCCGCGCGTTATTCGAAATGTCACGAATTTTCTGTCGGATCGCCCTGACTTGTTCTGCCGCGTGCGCTATCCAGCGGGCAACGTATACGTCCTCGACGTACGGCGCGCCTAGTTGACCGCTTGCGCGCGTAATTTCCCCCGATTGCTCGACATCAGATTCGTCGGCTGATATACGTAGCGCGAGGTTCACCGGATGTGTCCTCCGGTAAAGGTGCTACGCCGGGCCGCTGATAGCACGGTCCGTGGAGTTGTCTAAAACCCCCACTTCGGATTCGCGTACTGGAATTTCGCCATCGAGCGGCGTACGGGGCGGTAAAATTTCAGTAGCTGGATTCCTCCCTTGGCTACGTATGTTTTCCTCTAGCATAACTAGCATGTTGAGTTTCGTCGCGTAGCACGGTAGCTGTCTGAAAGCGCATTCGCGACGTAATTCAGCGCAATTAATTTGTGCTAATGATTTCCCCGACATATTGACCGTGAATATTATGTTTATTTACAAAACTAAATAATCAAATGTATGTTAAGCCGGATTCCCACGACTGGTGTGCTTTCCAAGTATACCAATAATTGTATACTTGCCAAATCATCCAATTATTAACAAGTGGAGCGTTCCCATGATTGGTATACTTGACAAGTATACCAGTACTTGTACACTTGTACAAGTAATAAATAAAAGTCAAGTATACTATTTNATAAATAAAAGCCAAGTATACTATTCCTACGACTGGATCAAATGCCAAATAATTGTATTGGAGGTGGGACCTGAAAAATATTAAGTCATGTATCATTTGCTTTTTTAGCACTGCAGTGTTTGGACGTTTCAGTGAGTGATTTAAAATACATTTTTTAGTTAAAATAGTTCTTTACATTTAACTATAACTTTTAGTTTTTATTTATGTAATTAACCTTNCTTTAACTATAATTTTTAGTTTTTATTTATCTAATTAACCTTAAGTTAATTAAAATGGCTAGTGATAATGATAAAATGGCTATTTATGCTTCATACATAACTATGTGTGGAGAGTACTTAAAGTACAAACAATTAATTGAAAAAAAAATACAAAAAAAAAAATGTAAAAATATGTTACCGTAAAATTAGACGAAGGTTTTACTAAACTTCACCAAACAATTGAACAGCCACCATTTCAAAATAGAGTTTTGGTAGCGAAATGCATTCAATTTATATCATTAATACACTTATCTACTTTTTTTTAGTAATTTGGCATTTCCAGTAAAGATTTTTATTTATTTACTATCTATATTCATTTTTCGCTTGCATTCTTATTATGATTGCTTACAGGTGATACTTACTGATATAAACGTCAAGAGTTATCAGTTTACTTAATTTCTATGAGCAGTGTTGGTTGCAAAAACAAAATATTGGCCGATTAATTCATTTTTATTTAATTATAGCCATCGAAGTTTGAAATAAAACTATTTTTACACACATAGTTTTAATATAACTTTATAAAATAGAAAATGCTATTACTATAAAATATTTTTCAGTACTAAACTGTATTAATCTTGTTTTCGGTATCCAACAACAATAGCAATTAAAGCAAATTTGAGGAGGTTAGTTTCTCTAAAAATTAAAGAAAAAGAATTCGACAGAGTAAAACTAATAGTGTTTCAGCTACGCAACATATATAATTTTTACTTGCAAAAATGAAACAGAATTTTACAAATATAAACATTTTAGTAAAATATTAAACTATCCAATAATATTTATTTTATACTTAATATTTATAAATTAATAAGTTATATAATTAATACATTATGTAATCAACCTTAACTATTAAATTATATTTACAATTACACTATAAAATAGTTTTACTTATATATTAAATAAAATCAACTAATTAGGCCTAAAATCAAATATTGGATAAGTATTTGACAAGTACACAAGTGTGCACTAGTGAACTACAAGTGTAAACTTGTCAAGCCATTAATTCCTTTGACTTGTGTTACATTTACCAACAATCTGCGGGAAACTGACAAGTGACCAATAATTGTACAAGTATAGTGTTCCGACGGCTTGACAAGTATACACAAGTGACAAATATTTGGCAAGTACACCAGTCGTGGGAATCCGGCTTAAGGTAAATTGCAGGTGAGATTGTGCCTCACTTGCTTCACCCGGCGAGCCACCACTCACAACTAGCCGTCCTACGATCTAGCTGCCTCGTACAAAACAACTATATTACTTTATGTAAGCTTATATATGTATAATCTGTATAAAATATATATTTTTTGTACAGATGACACATTGTGTATATAAGAATACAATATATTATTTTAAAATTATAATATTTTTGAATGTGTACAAAGCTTATAAATGTACATTTAAACACTAACTGTTAATGATCTAATGATCCGTCGTAGAGCACGCTGTTATTGAAACAATGAACGACAATTGAACTGCTATCGAACTTTTTAATGCTGAACCGAGGAACGGTCTATGAACTTAAACTGAACTTTTGTAGAACTCAGTTCACCACATGTTAAAATCCGTATTGAAATCTCAATTTTGAACGGAGCTATGAACGGGTTTTGAACTGAGTTCAGCACGTTTGTAACTATATTAAATGAACCCGGTATGAACTCGGGTATTGTGTCAAAAACAAATGTATCTAATTCCGAATTAGTATTATCTCCAAAAATTTCTTTTAATTTTTCCTCTATGTCCTCAATATTACTCATACTATAGATATATGAGAAATTATACACACACACGCAAAAATTTTTTTTTTCTCTGGGGAGATTTTTAAATTACTAAATTTAATAACTAAATAAAATTGTTATATATAAATATATTTTGCACTAATCTCGGGTCTTCCGGTTAAATGTTTCAAGTAATCCTTGTATTGTAGTGATCGCCGGATCAACTTATTGACGCGAAATTACACGCACACACAAATTTCGATGTCACGAAAAAAAAACTTCGAGGGGTCGTGTCGGTACGAACCTCGAGTTGGGCGCCAATTTTATGTCGTACGTTGGTAGGGCCCCAACGTAGACACAAAATTTTTACACAAATTAATTAATGTTTTATATATATATATATATATATTAACGATGAGTTCGTCGTTTACACTCTTCTCGTGTCCTCCCGTTGGATAAACTGATCAGCCCCAATCCCTCAAATTAGTGAACTACTAAAGGGGTAGAGTTTAGACCAGTCAGCACAGTCTAGCTCAAAAGTAGCAGACTGAAGGGTGGCTCCTTGTCAGCCACCAGCNAAAAAAAAATCAACTAAAAATATTAACTGGATCAAAAGTTATTTAAGTTGTCAGTGAGTGGTGGGCCACCCTGTATATTAACGATGAGTTCGTCGTTCACACTCTTCTCGTGTCCTCCCGTTGGATAAACTGATCAGCCCCAATCCCTCAAATTAGTGAACTACTAAAGGGGTAGAGTTTAGACCAGTCAGCACAGTCTAGCTCAAAAGTAGCAGACTGAAGGGTGGCTCCTTGTCAGCCACCAGCACAACTACCTTTTTACTATACCCACTAAAGGACAGTTAAGCCCAAAAAATAGCCAGCTCGCACACTAATTATTAAGATTGACTAAAGGACCGGTAGTCCAACCTTGACTCTAGCCGCACACACAAACATAATTCTAAAAAGACGGTGAATATAAAATATTTGCGCTAAGTCCAGGTTTTCAAATAGCTATTTTATTTAAGAAACGTATTAA